CGGTTCGTCGTTTTGTGTCGCCACAGAGAGGCCGTGAGGGGACGGGCTGTGGCCGGTCCCTGCCCTGAGCTGGCCCAAAAACTTCTCCCGTCGTGCAGGCGGGGGTCTGCCATGGCCCTTGTTCGGAGATGTCCAGCGCGATGTCATGTCTCTGGGTGCCCGAGGGCTGGAAGTTGCCTTCCCAAACCCGCTAACGGAAAAGGAGGAGAGAGGGAGCTGAGCCGGGACGGGCAGAGTGTTCCCGGGAGCTGCCCCCGCTCAGCGTTGGGCTCATGGCTGGCTGGGGGGCCGGGATTCCTGGCTGGGCCAAGTGGCTGTTCCAGGGGTGTAGGGATGAAAATCCCCCACGGTAATCCCGCCTTTCAACAAGGATAAAGCCGGGATTAGCCTGCCCGAGATGGTTAAGACAGCGGCGTGTTGCATAAGTGGTGGTGACCGGCGGGTCCTGCCTGTCCCCTCAGGAAGGGATGAAGCCCCACATGCTCTCAGAAGGGACTCGCCACTCTCCACACGCTGTTCCTCCTCCCCTGGGCAGGAATGATTTCCTCCCGGCCTTTCTCCCTCTAGGCTGAAGACCCACCATGCCCAGCGGCTCGTGAGGAAGAGGAGGAGGTGGTCCGTGTGCTGACTCTGCCTCTGCAGGCTCATCACGCCATGGAGAAGATGGAAGAGTTTGTGTATAAGGTACAGGAGCCTGTAGCGATCCCCTAGTCCTGATTTTGGAGTATTAATGAGGCTGGGATGCCCCAAGCCCGGGGCTCAGGGTGGCGGGTAGGGGCTCGGATGTGTCTTTCTGTCTGGGTAAAGCTGCCGGGGCTCCGTGCAGCTCTGCCGCAGCCTGCTCTGGCTCTGCTCGCCTGGGCCTGCTCCCAGCAGAGTCTCCCAGGAGCAGTGTGGGAAGGGGACGGTGGCAGTCGGGAAGCACTGGTGGGTGTTGGAGGTTGTGCTCAGCTGTGCCGGATGAACAGCAACTTGGGGAACAGCCCTGGTGTCTCTGCGTTCCTCTACCGGAGAGCAGGAGCTCCAAGCACCGGTGCTGGTTTCACCTGGTGTCTGTGCTCGTGGTCACCGCAGTTTGGTAAGCAGTGGCATCGGCTGAGGGCCAGCCTGGTCCTGTTGCCAGCCAGGGCTACCTCTTCCCTAACCGAAACGGAAGGGAGTTCCCCACTGCAGGGAACAGTTGCTTCGAGTGCAGAAAGGTTAAACCTGAGGGTGCAAATGGGCTCTGACTCCCTGGGGGGGCTGTGCGGGGAGCGCTCTGTGGCATGGGGGTGGCTTGAGAGGTGCCTGATGTTGCAAGAGCTGAACTTCCTCTCCCCGAGGAGCATTACAGGGTGTTTTCAGCCCTGGCTGGGCTTGTTCCTCATGCAATTCTAGGCTCCCGGGGTGAGTAAATGGGAGCCTTTGGGCTGGCTCGACACTCTGGGGGCCACCAGCCCAGCTTGGCATGTTGCAGGTGTGGGAAGGGCGCTGGCGTGTGATCCCCTACGACGTGCTGCCCGACTGGCTGAAGGACAACGATTACCTCCTGCACGGACACAGGCCTCCCATGCCGTCCTTCCGAGCCTGCTTCAAGAGCATCTTCCGAATACACACCGAGACGGGCAACATCTGGACGCACTTGCTAGGTGACCGGGGGGGATGTTGGTAGCCCTGGGGCTGAAGGTGGGCTTGTCCCCCATGCACAAGGGTGGCCTTTTACAGCCAGGACTTGCTTGGTGCTGGGGTCCTCTCCCTGCCCGGGGCCTCCCGTTGAGGATCGCGTACCCCTGCCTGGTCCTGTGCGCGCAGGCAGTTGGTCACCAGGTGCCCACAAGTTCCTGGAGCTCCTCGGGGGAGGAGGGACCGGGGCATTTCCTCACTGTGGGGCCCCAGGGGTGGGCTCAGCCACCGTTTGTGGCTTTGCCGATACTCTGCAAGAGTGGGACGGAGAAATATGTCCTGGATAAGACGGGAACGCCCCAGAGCATGTTCCTCTGAGACCCAGGGACAGTCGGTGGTCTTCACCCTGTGCCTGACCATGCCCTTGCCCCCAGGGCCCTGTTTCTCCTGGCTTTTTGCTGAATTGATTCACTTTCCTGCTGCCTGACCGCCCGTTTGGTGTGTTCCCTGCAGGTTTTGTCTTGTTCCTCTGCTTGGGGATCCTGACCATGCTGCGGCCCAATATGTATTTCATGGCTCCTCTCCAGGAGAAGGTCGTGTTCGGGATGTTCTTCCTGGGCGCGGTGCTGTGCCTCAGCTTCTCCTGGCTTTTCCACACTGTCTACTGTCACTCGGAGAAGGTCTCACGGACTTTTTCGAAGTGAGTCAGCACAAGCGCGGTCGTGTGTTCTCAGAGGAGGTCTGGAGTTCTCACAGCAGTTCCTCTTGGAAAGCGCTGTGTTCCCAAATCTTTTATCCCTGGGGGAAGGGAGTGGTTACCAAATCCAGCGTGGAGTTGAGAGGGAACCACGGCTGGGTCCCGGAGGGCTCTGCCCTGTGCCTGAGCACCTTAAATCCACCGCTGAAATGATGAGGTGGATGATAAAAACGGGGAACCTGCAGCTCTCAAGGGAACAAACAGCCTTTGTGTCCCTTGTAGGAGGGAACTGAGGAGGGGTCGTGGTCTCATGAGACACGTTTGGCGGTTTCCAGTTTACTGGACGCTTTCAAAAACTCTGGTTTGGATCCAATTTGGATTGAAACCAAATTGAAACAAAGAGGATTCCCGGCAAAGTGGAAAGGCTGGGCAGCGGCCAGTGCCTCTCCCCGAGGTCGGTGCTCAGGCTGCTCTTTGAGTTGAGCTCCCATCGGTGGCCCAGGCAGAGCACCAGTGAGGCTTTCAGATAGGATCTCGCTCACACGAGTCCGTCAAAGGCATTTACTTGGGTGCTTCTGGCTGGGAAATCCTGCCAATCCCCTTTGCACAAACGCTAGACATCCTGCGGGATCGTGTCTGCAGAACAGACTGTGCTGCCGTGCCCTCAGCAGAAATGTCCTTCCCTACCCGGGAGGGCCCTTGCCGCGGCTGCCGTCACAGTGGGGGTAACGCAAGCAGCTGCGTTTCGGTGCTGAAATGGTTCCTGGATCGATAGATTGAAAGCACTTTGCAGTGGAAGATAATAGTCAAATCCATACGCGCAAGGACTCGTGCCCGCCGCATTCTGTCATTGCCGGCATCCCCAAAGC